TTATTATTTTATTATTTTTATTATATTCATCGTTATTGTTGCTGCTATTATTATTATTATTATTATTATTATTATTATTATATTATTATTATTATTATTATTATTATTATTATTATTATTATTATTATTATTATTATATTATTATTATTATTATTATTATTATTATTATTATTATTGTTATTATTATTATTAATTATTAATTATTATTATTATTATTATTATTATTTTTTATTTATTGTTATTATATTATTATTATTATTATATTTTATTATTCTTATTGTTATTATTATTATTATTATTGTTATTATTATTATTATTATTATTATTATTATTATTATTATTATTATTATTATTATTATCATTATTGTTGTAGTTTGTTGTTGGTTTTTGTGATTTTATTATTATTATTAATCATTATTATTGTTATTATTATCATTATCATCATCATATCATCATATCATCATCATCATCATCATCATCAATATTATCATCATCATTGTCATTGTCTTTATAACTGTTGTTATCATTATCATCATTAATGTCGTTATTGTTATTGTTATCATTATAATCATCGTTATTGTTTTTATTATAACTATTATTATGATGACTTGTTATTACTATTGTTGTTACTTATATTAGTATTATTGTCATTATTATTATTATTATTATTATTATTATTATTATTATTATTATTATTATTATTATTATTATTATTATTATTGATATTAGGATTAGTTTTTTATATTAGTGCATTTTCTTTCTATTCCCATACTCATTCATATTAAAAATTCTTTGTATACGATATTCATTCATACTCGAGATATCATTGTACCCATTCATAAACACGGTACTACATTATTCTCATTCATGCTCAAGATACTTTTGCTATTCTTATTCAAACTCAAGATACTTTTATTATCTTCATTCATATTCAAGATACTTTTACTATCTTCATTCATATTCAAGATACTTTTACTATCTTCATTCATACTCAAGGTACTGAAGATGCTATACTCTTTTCGTGCATACTCAGGGTACTGTACTATTTATCATTCAAACTTCATACACTCAGATGCTATGCTCTTTTCAATGTATACTATTGTACTATTCATTTAATACTCGAGATACTATACTAATTCTTACTCAAGATGCAAATTCTAATTATTCTATCGTCATCATATTCGAGATACTATTACTTTCATTATTCTAAGATGTTGTACTATTTTCATGCATACTCTAAGATGCTGTACTATTTTTCTTACCTAAGATGCTGTACTATTTTCATTCATACTCAAGATGCTGTACTATTTTCATTCATACTCCAAGATGCTGTACTATTTTCATTCATACTCAAGATGCTGTACTATTCGTTCATACTCTAAGATGCTGTACTATTTTCATTCATACTCAAGATGCTGTACTATCCTCATTCATATTCGAGATACTATACTATTTTCATGTATACTCAGGATACTGTACTATGCTCTTTCATACGTAAGATACTATACTATTCTCGTCCATGGTCAGGTTGCCATATTTCCCATATCCATGCTCAAAATGCTTTAGTTTCCTCATGCATCCCCAAGATGATATACTATCCCCATTCATGAAACTGCCCCTCAGTGCACCCCCTCATTGCGCTTGTCAGACTAACATATAGGCCTATTAGAGCCACTTGGATGCCAGGTGAGGATCGGCTCTCTGGATTACATGTATTTTGGATCCTGGGTGTCTTGCTTGCCTCATGGTTGACTTGCTTCATGGGTGTCTTGCCTCATGAGTATCTTGCTTCATGGGTATCTTACTTTATGAGCAGTTTGCTTCACGGGCACCTTGTTTCATGGGTTTCTTACTTCATGAGCAATTTGCTTCACGGGTATCTTGTTTCATGGGTTTCTTACTTCATGAGCAATTTGCTTCACGGGTATCTTGCTTCATGGGTATCTTCATGAGCAATTTGCTTCATGGGTATTTTACTTCATGAGCAATTTGTTTCATGAGGATCTTGTATCATAGGTATCTTGCTTTATGAGTAAGTTGCATCACGGGTATCTAGCTTCATGGGTTTCTTGCATCGGAGGCATCATGTTTCATGGGTATCTTGGCTCATGGGTAAGTTGCTGCGCGGGTATCTTTCATCATAGGTATCTTGCTTAATGGGTATCTTGTGTCATGGGAATCTTACATCACTTCACTTGTATTTTGCTTCATGGGTATCTTATATCATGTGCATCTTACATCAAGGGTATCTTGCTTTATGGGTATCCTGCATCACGAGTGGCGGTATGTAGGTTCACGAGCATCTTGCGCCATTAGTATTTTGCATCACGAGTGGGTCGCGAATACGCCTCAAATCACGATCGTCATTATTATTCCACCGTGAGTATTTTGCATCACGAGTTGCATTATCCGAGATCGCGAGTATTCGTCATTTTGAATCAGTATTTTTTTCAAAGCATTAGGTTGGAAGTCGCATTTCTGGTAACGCTATTTTCGACCATACATGAAGCCTCACACCGACCAGATATGGTACTTTTTGGACCGTCGTTACCTCTTAGGGAAAGTTGGGGTGGGGAGTCTGAAGAAACGTCCTTCTTATTGAAAAGTGAACGAGGGGTAGGGAGGTAGAGAAAGTGATGGACATTGAGTTGGAGAGAGAGAGAGAGAGAGAGAGAGAGAGAGAGAGAGAGAGAGAGAGAGAGAGAGAGAGAGAGAGAGAGAGAGAGAAGAGAGAGAGAGAGAGAGAGAGAGAGAGAGAGAGAGAAGAGAAAGAAAGAAAGAGAAGAAAAGAAGAAAGAAAGACAAGGAAGAAAAGAGAAAGAGAAATTGATATTGCTGAATAAACGTGAGAATATTGAGGGACAGACAGACAGAATTGAAATAATGCTAAAATCGGGAATTCGAGAAGAGAGAAACAGACAGACAGACAGAGAAACTGATATCGCGAAATTCGAGAAACACACAGACAGACAGGCAGGGCAGGCAGGCAGAAGAGACACCCAGAGAGAAAAGAGAGAATTTGAATATCGCTAATATACGTGGAATTCTGAGAGAGAGAACAGAACAGACGGAGGCAGGCAGGCAGAAGAGACACAGAGAGAAAGAAGAGGAATTTGAATATCGCTAAATATGCTTGAGAATTTATGAGGAGAAAGAGAAAATTGGAATATCGCTAGATATACTTGAGAATTTCTGGTAATGTGTTTATATACACACAGAGTACACTACATCGCAAAGTTTCTAGCACACTGTAGTTATTTTATCTGTCTGTTCCTGTTTATCAATGTTCCTTTTTTGCATAGTAAGTTGTGTACCAAAGAGAATAACCAAATTGAAGAGAATGTAGATGAGGAAATGAACATAGACAGAATGCTGTTAGATTCTATTAGTCTTTTGTTGTATTTAGTAACTGCACTTTACAGAAAGCAAAAACCAAAATGCATTCGCTTGACATAGCTGTTCTTTAGGAGAGCCAATTGTGAGTTCACTTTTATTTCCTTTACATGTATCCCTTTCCATGTGACGTCCCTTCTGTCGAGGTCCCTTTCCCTTGATGCCCCTTCCTGCGAGGTCCCTTTTCTCGATGCCCCCTGTGTGGGGTCCTTTCCCTTGATGCCCCTTTTTCGTGTGAGGTCCCTTTCCCTTTGATGCCCTCTTCGTGTGAGGTCCCCTTTCCCCTCCGATGGCCCTTCGTATGAGGTCCCTTTCCCTCGATGCCCTTCCTGTGAGGTCCCCTTCCCTGATGCCTTCGTGTGATTTCCCTTGTGCCCCTTGTTGAGGTCCCTTTCCTCGACCCCTCCTGTGAGGTCCCTTCCCTCGATTGCCCCCCTATGAGTCCTTTCCTTGATGCCCCTTCGTGTGAGGTCCCTTTCCCTCGATGCCCCTTCCTGTGAAGGTCCCTTTCCCTTTGATGCCCTTCCTGTGTGGTCCCTTCCCCTTGATGCCCCTTTCGTTGTGATGCCCTTCCTTGAGTGCCCCGTCCCTGTTGAGGTCCCTTTCCCTTGATGCCCTTCCTGTGAGGTCCCTTTCCCTTTTTGATGCCCCTTCGTGTGAGGCCCTTTCCCTTGACCCTTCGGTGAGGTCCTTCCTCCCGATGCCCCTTCTGTGGTCCCTTTCCCTCGATTTCGTGTGGAGGTCCTTTCCCGCCCCTTGGTCCCCTTCCCTTATGCTCTTCTGGGGGTCCCTCCCTTGATGTACCTTTCCTGTGATGGTTCCTTTCCCTCGATGCCCCTTCCTGTGAATCCCCTTTCGTTACGTCTCCTCTTATTCTGATCCCTCTTATAGTGATCCATCCTCCCACGATCCTTCCAATAATAGATCTTCCTATCTTAGCAGCCGCTCGGTGACGATGGGAAGACGAACAAAGCTTTTTCCTTGATGCCCCTTCCCCGTGAGTCCCTTTCCCTTGATGTCCCTTCCTTGAGGTCCCTTCCCTCGATGCCCTTTCTTTGAGGTCCCTTTCCCTTGATGCCCTTCCGTGAGGTCCCTTTCCCTATGTCCCTGTGAGGTCCCTTTCCTTGATGCGTGTGAAGTCCCTCCCCTTGATGCCCTTCGTGTGGGTCCCTTTCCCTTGATGCCCCTTCTTTTGAGGTCCCTTCTCCTGTTACGTCTCCCTCTTATCTGATCCCTCTTATAGTGATCCATCCTCCCACGATCCTTCCAATAATAGATCTTCCTATCTAGCAACAACCGATTAGTGACGATGGGAAGACGAGCAAAGTCTTTTTCCCGATGACCTGACGCAGATGCCCCTTCTTTGAGGTCCCTCCCTCGATGCCCCTTCCTGTGAGGCCCTCCTCGATGCCCTTCCCGTGAAGGTCCCTCCCTGATGCCCCTTCCTGTGAGGTCCCTTTCCCTTTCCCTCGATGCCCCTTCCTGTGAGGTCCCTTTCCTTGATCCCTTCTTTTTGAGGTCCCTTTCCTGTTACGTCTCCCTCTTATTCTGATCCTCTTATAGTGATCCATCCTCCCGTGATCCTTCCAATAATAGATCTTCCTATCTTAGCAACAGCCGCTTGGTGACGATGGGAAGACGAACAAAAGCTTTTTCCTTGATGCCCCTTCCCTGAGTCCCTTTCCCTTGATGTCCCTCCTGTGAGTTTCCTCCGTGTGAGGTCCCTTTCCCCGATGCCCCTTCCCGTGAGGTCCCTTTCCCTTGATGTCCCTCCTGTGAGGTCCCTTCCCTCGATTTGCCCCCTTCCTGTGAGGCCTTTCCCTCGATGCCCCTTTTGAGGTCCCTTTCCCTTGATGCCCTTCCCGTGAGGTCCCTTTCCTTGATGCCCCTCTCCTGTGAGGTTCCCTTTCCCTTGATGCCCCTTCCCTGAGGTCCCTTTCCCTTGATGCCCTTCCTTGTAGGTCCCTTTCCCTTGATGCCCTTCCTGTGAGGTCCCTTTCCCTTGATGAGGCCCTTCCTGTGAGGTCCCCTTTCCCTGTGCCCTTCCCGTGAGGTCCCCTTCCTCGATGCTTCCTGTGAGGTCCTTTCCCCTTGATGCCTCCTGTGAGGTCCCTTCCCTGTGAGGTTTCCCTTTCCCTCGATTCCCCTGTGAGGTCCCTTTCCCTTGATGCCCCTTCCTGTGAGGTCCCTTTCCCTTGATGCCCCTTCCTGTGAGGTCCCTTTCCCTTGATGCCCCTTCCTGTGAGGTCCCTTTTCCTGTTACGTCTCCCTCTTATTTTGATCCCTCGGATAGTGATCCATCCTCCACGATCCTTCCAATAATAGAGTCTTCCTATCTTAGCAACAGCCGCTCGGTGACGATGGGAAGACGAACAAAAGCTTTTTCCTTGATGCCCCTTCCTGTGAGGTCCCTTTCCCTTGATGCCCCTTCCTGTGAGGTCCCTTTCCCTCGATGCCCCTTCCTGTGAGGTCCCTTTCCCTTGATGCCCCTTCCTGTGAGTCCCTTTTGCCCCTTCCTGTGAGGTCCCTTTCCCTCGATGCCCCTTCCTGTGAGGTCCCTTTCCCTTGATGCCCCTTCCTGTGAGGTCCCTTTCCCTCGATGCCCTTCTTTTGAGGTCCCTTTTCCTGTTACGTCTCCCTCTTATTCTGATCCCTCGGATAGTGATCCATCCTCCCACGATCCTTCCAATAATAGATCTTCCTATCTTAGCAACAGCCGCTTGGTGACGATGGGAAGACGAACAAAAGCTTTTTCCTTGATGCTCCTTCCTGTGAGGTCCCTTTCCCTTGATGCCTGTGAGAGAGTCCCTTTCCCTGATGATGAGATGCCCTTCCTGTGAGGTCCCTTTCCCTGATGGACGATGCCCTTCCTTTGAGGTCCCTTTCCCTTGATGCCCTTCCTTTGAGGTCCCTTTCCCTTGATGCCCCCCCTGTGAGGTCCCATCCCTTGATGAGGTCCCTTCCTTGACCTGTGAGGTCCCTTTCCCTTGATGCCCTTCTTTTGAGGTCCCTTTTCCTGTTACGTCTCCCTCTTATTCTGATCCCTCGGATAGTGATCCATCCTCCCACGATCCTTCCAATAATAGATCTTCCTATCTTAGCAACAGCCGCTCGGTGACGATGGGAAGACGAGCAAAAGCTTTTTCCCGATGACCTGGACGCAGTTTTTTTCCGCACGGGTCATTCGTTCCAGGAAGATGTTTATTACTGTCGGTCATTCTTTCTCTTCCTCTTCTGTTTTTATCTCTGCTTGGCTCATGGGGTTTCATTCGCCTTTTTTATGATTTTTCGTTCGTAGTTATATTTGTTTTGTTTATGTGTTTAGCATCATCGTTGTCTTCATAACTATTATTATCGTTGGTTTTATTATTATTATTATTATTATTATTATTATTATTATTATTATTATTATTATGAATGTTATAATTGGTAGTATTTTTATTTTTTCTATTATTATTTGTATTATTATTTTATTATTATTTTATTTTTATTATTACTTTTATTATGATTATGATGATTATGATGATAAAGATTATTAATGATTATTAATGTTATTATTATTTACTTTCTGATGTAAACCTCTTCCAGTCACACGAAAGATATTTTGTATCGTGAATAGTGAGCAAACAGCCATGTACAGATTTCCATTGTGCAGCTCCTTTCCCTTGTTTCTGACTCATTACTGATCGATCTTCATTACCTTATCTGCATGGATGCAGCAAGACTCCCCTCGCTGTGGTCTAATTAGTGTAAAATTAGATATTATTTCTCTGAAGCTAAGGTCCTGTTGCAAATAAGTAATTAAGAAGAAAGACCAAGTATTCAGGGAAATAAAAGACTTGTTGGTGGGGTTGGTTGTGGGACCTTTGAAGCCGGATAGGCGAGGTGCAAAAAATAGGCCTACCAGCTGGCGAGGGTTGGGAATGCATCCTTTGGCTGAATAAGATGGATAGTCGTGGCAGGTGTTGGCTTCGAGCTCTCGGATTAGAAGATTCGCTGAAGGCTTGTAGGTGCTGTGGATCCGTGCCGTTAGTCGCAAGTGAACTAGAGATTTTGTGCTACTCTTTGCGCTTATGTGATTCTCGCTCACGCGCACGCACACACACATACATACACGCATACACGCATACACGCATCTCTCTTCTCTCTCTTCTCTCTCTCTCTCTCCTCTCTCTCTCTCTCTCTCTCTCTCTCTCTCTCTCTCTCTCTCTCTCTCTCTCTCTCTCTCTCTCTCTCTCTCTCTCTCTCTCTCTCCCTCTCTCTCTCTTCCTCTCTTTGCCTGTACTTTGCTCACCTCAGCTCGCAGCCCATTTTTTTTCCTCTCCAGCTGCATGGCAGCGCCCTAAGCTCCTCGCCGGCCCTTAACTACAGCAGCTTCCCTGTAGATTTCAGGGTGGAGGCCGTCACCCTGCCTAGCGCCTCTACTAACCTCGGACTCGGCGTGACGGCGGCAACCGGTCGCGGAGCCGCCCCCCTCGCCCCCCGCTGCCCGTCGCCCCCCTCGACGCCGCCGCCGACAGGGAAGACCCCGCCGCCGCCGCCGCCGCCCCTACCTCGACGACCGCTCACTGCCAGGACCGCCATCGTCCAGCCCGACCCGAGACCAGGACCGAAATCACACCGGGACAGCCGTCGCCCCCCCCCACACACATGTCGCAGCTGCACTCCCCGCGCCTCGCCAACCCTTAGGTCTTGTTTGCCGCCATCGTGCCGCCCTCGCGTGCTCCCGGCATGGCCCAGCTGGAAAGTGAGTACCGCACGGCGCCGCGCCGCCCGCACGTGCCCGTCGCCCTCAGGCGTGCATGAGCTTTGGGTTTGCCTTTGCCCTGTTCTTCCTTCTCTCCCCTGCCCTTGTCCTGCTCTCCCTTGCCCTTTTCCTGCTCTTCTTAGCCCTTGCCCTGTTCTTCCTTGCTCTCTCTTGCCCTTATCCTGCTCCCTATTGCCCTTGCCCCGTTCTTTCTTCACCCCTTGCCCCTGTCCTGCTCTTCCTTGCCTTTTCCCTGTTCTTCCTTGCTCTTGCCCTGTTCTTTCTTGCTCTCCCTTGCCCGTGCCCTGTTCTTTCTTCACCCCTTGCCCTTGCCCTGCTCTTCCTTGCCCTTACCCTGTTCTTCCTTGCCCTTGTCCTGCCCTTCCTTGCCCTTGTCCTGCTCTCCCTTGCCTTTGCCCTGTTCTTCCTTGCTCTTCCTTGTCCTGTTCTTACTTGCCCTGTCCTGTCCTGCCCTACCATGCCCCCATCCCACCCCACCCCCTGCCTTTCCCTGTCCATCCTTACTCTGCCCTTTCCTCCCCTGCCCTCCCCTGCCCTCGTGACTAGTACTGCGTAGTTTTAAGCATTTTCCAGTATTTGGTTCTCGCTTCCCTGCTCGTATATGCACACATGTACAATTGCACTTAATCATGAACACACAAATACATAATTATACACATGCACGAACACACACGCATGATGTACGCATGAAAACATACACATAATCAAACACGGACACACAATCATATACATGTACACACAAACTCATAAAAATGTATATACACATAATCATTCTCGCCATACTACACACACGCACACGTCCGCTTCCACGCATACGCACGCTCACACGCACACGCACGCGCACACAATCACAATCACACACACAATCACACATCAGCATTGCCTCATATTTTTTTGTTTATTCTTGAATCATTTTATAATATTTTATGTGACGAGATTATGGCTTCTTGGATGTTGAAAGCCGTGAGTGTGAAGAATTTATTATATATATATATATATATATATATATATATATATATATATATATATATATAGAGAGAGAGAGAGAGAGAGAGAGAGAGAGAGAGAGAGAGAGAGAGAGAGAGAGAGAGAGAGATATGAATAGATAGATAGATAGATATGTATCTGTGTATCCATGTATTCATGTATCCTTCTATGTATGTACACACACGCACACACACACATGTAATGTATGTATGTATGTGTGTGTGTGTGTGTGTGTGTGTGTGTGTGTGTGTGTGTGTGTGTGTGTGTGTGTGTGTGTGTGTGTGTGTGTGTGTGGTGTGTGTGGCTGTGTCTGTGTGTGTGTGTAATCATGCAGATTAAGATTGTTTCATCGAACTCTTAATGTTCCATGTGAGTGCAATACACGTAAAGCCAATGAGATTTTCCAGGTTCTGCTGTTGGTTGTAGTGAGGTAAACTCTTGTTGTCCAAAGACGACCGCAAACAGAGAGAGAGAGAGAGAGAGAGAGAGAGAGAGAGAGAGAGAGAGAGAGAGAGAGAGAGAGAGAGAGAGGAAGAGAGAGAGAGAGAGAGAGAGAGAGAGAGATGGGGGGGGGGAAGGAGGGCGGGAGGGAGGAGAAGAGGAAGAGGGAGATTGTATGAATGAGAAAAGAAAGGAAGAATGGAAAAAAGGGAAAGGGCAGAAAGATATATATATAGAGAGAGGGAGAAAGAAATTGTATGAAAGAAACAAAGAAAAAAAGGGGCGCAGATATAGAAAGAGCAGAAAGAGGAGAAACAGAAGGAGTGAGGATCGAGCGGCGCACCGGGAACGGCGTCCGGAAGGGCGAAAGTCCCTCCCAGCGGCGAGCGGGCGTGGACAGCAACGAGGGAAGGGAGTGAAGGACGCGAGGCGGGAAGTAGTTCCTCCGGCTGACCCGACGCCTGGCGGGGACATGTAGTGGGGGGGTGATACGCGAGCCTTTAGCAGAGGGATACCGATGTTGCGAAGTCTTGTTTCGTTAGGGGAAGGAAGGGGGGGGGGGCGGAGGCTCGTGTTGCACGGGGTAGGATACAGGGGGGGGGGGTAGCGTAGGTACAACAAGGCAGCGGCGTAAGGTGTTGGCCTGTCGGAAAACAAGATTAAAGTTGAGGGGACGGAGAGGGCGTCGCGAGGAGCACGGCGCCCTTGTTAAGGGTAGGTGCAGGCTAAGGGACGCGAGGGGAGAGGGATAGATAATATTCATAATCGTCTTCTGTTCATTGAGAACGGGAGTGGGGGTGAAACTAGAAAGAGAAGGGGAAGAAGAGAGGGAGAGAGGGGGGGGGGTATAAAGGGCGTGGCCTCAGCTGCCTGTTTCACCTTAAAACGCATAGCGGTGCCAGGGAGCCATGTCCATGTACCTGAGCCACGGACCTGAACTATCACCAGACTCTCATCTCCTGGCTATATGGCTAAAGCACGTACACGAGTCACATACTCAAGCCGCTACTGTTACAAGAGCAACATACCAGAGACACGGACCTGGCCCACGTACACGAGGAACGTGCATGAGCCATATATCGTAGCACGCATGAGCCACGGACCTGAGCTCTGCTGAAGGTGTCGTCTGGGTAAACCTCCGAGAAGATGGCACCGAGTGCGAGGAATAGAGGTTGGGAAAAGCGCCGTTGTTGGGACGGGAGGATTCAACTCTGTGTATCCTTCGAGGGAGAGATTCTATTAGGCTCCATGAGTGGCCTCGTGGACGCGTAGGATGGCTTTCCAAGATGGGTAGACTGCTGGAATATGATTAGCCGCTGGCCATTTCGCGAAGTGCACGCAGTAGAGTGCGTTTCCTGGCACCACGAGCAGGGAGTGTTGTAGGTCTCGAGTCATTCATGGGATCGCGCATGGCCTTCTGGTGGTTGGATTATTGTATTATTATTATTTTTATTTTAGTTGATGATTTTCTGATTATTACTATTTTACTTTTATTTCGATAAAAAACTTTTAAGATCAGCGAGTCGAAAGAGTAAAGCATTGATTTGTTTTAAACCACAGCTTTTAAAAGAGCGGAAAGTCATAAGAAAAACTAACCACGCATCGCCGAGGCGCTTTAGCCTTTAAGGAAGTTTCAGGCAAAGGAAAAAAATCTTCCTCGTGGAAACCCCAACATCGCGGGATAGAAGAAGGCAACTGGAAGAAGAAGAAGAAGAAGAAGAAGCGAGGAGGATATGCAACTGGAAGAAGAAGAAGAAGCGAGGAGGATGTGCAACTGGAAGAAGAAGAAGAAGAAGATGCGAGGAGGATATGCAACTGGAAGAAGAAGAAGAAGAAGCGAGAGGATCGATAAACTATCCATCGGGGGCGAACCGTTGGCAGAGCGAGGATAGAGAGAACACGTGATCTAAAAACAGCACAAATTCTTGTATGGAGGCTGTTTGAAAATAGAAGGTGACAACGAGGCGGTGACGCGGTCTCGGTTCTGTGCGGCGATAAGGGTTATGCGTCCTTTATGGCACCCGCAGCGCCTCTGTTTTACCCTCTGCCAATCATTGAATTAATATATATATATATATATATATATATATATATATATATATATATATATATTATATATATATTATATATGTATATGTGTATATGTGTATATATGTGTATATGTGTATATGTATATATGTATATATATATATATATATATATATGTATATGTATATATGTATATATATGTATATATATATATATATATATATATATATATATATATATATATATATATGTATATATATGTATATATATATATATATATATATATATATATATATATATATATATATGTATATGTATATATGTATATATATATATATATATATATATATAATATATATATATTATATATATATGTGTTGTGTGTGTGTGTGTGTGTGTGTGGTGTGTGTGTGTGTGTGTGTGTGTTTGTATATATATAATATATATTATATATATATATATATATATATATATATATATATATATATATATATATATATATGCATCTGTCTATCTATGTATCTATCTGTGTATGTATGTATATGTATATGTTTGTATATATGTATATATATATATATATAGTGTGTGTGTGTGTGTGCGTGCGTGCGTGTGTGTAACGTTATCTATACATATTGTATGTAGACGTATATATTCGTATATTCCAAGATGAAAGCGTATTATCACAGACGAAGCTTTTCGTGGCGGAAACCGAGAAAACTTGAGCGAGAGACTTAAGTACCGGTTGGGTTTCACATCGAGAACCCACCGATGGGCTGCTGTGACCGCAATATCGTCCTGAGCCAAGAATAGGCATTTGCGGGCTGCCTCGTCATGACTGCATGATCCAATGGTGGTTCCTCCTGTAGCAAGGGAGGGCGTGTCGTCCCTAAGAATCTGTTGGATATATTTTGATACTGGAAGTTGGTTCTCGTGATGTGGAAAGTATATTTTGTTACTGTGAACTGCTGTATGATTCTGTTTGAAGTTTATTTTTGTTTATTGGATTCGTGTATCGGGTCGCTTTCGCTCCACAAACCTCGTTGATGTGATGGAAAGGTGTATCGAAGGCCGCTCGGGAGGGTACGAAGAGTGATCTTGAAAAGCTCCCTGCATTTAGAATGAATGAACCTTCATGACAACACCGACGCGAGGGCGAGCGCATAGAAGAGGGAGAAGCAGTAGAAAGCGTCTATTTTCGTCCGGCTTTCAAAAGGAAGGGAGAAGATTGTGAAACGAAACGCGATTGTAAAAGCGTAATCCTAAAGTGATGTCATGGCGGACCCTTCACGTCAAAAAATAGACCCCCCCCCCATTGCATAAGATTTCACGCTGCTGCTCGCAACACCCCTCCCTCCCTAGCACCCCCACCCCCTCTCCTGTGAGAAGCATTGATCTGAATGGAAAGGAAGTACTGCCGTCCCATTGGCCTCGCCTCGCTCAGTCCGACGAGAGTAATCCATAAAGTGGGAATGCATTATTGATAAAAAAAGGCGACGCAGTTGGTACGTGGGTGAGAGAGAGGG